GACTCATGAACATCAAAGTACGGATTGTGTGCGCGCTCTTTCAGCATCTCGAATCCTTTCGTCTCGCTTGCTCTTTCATGCTTTGTATCTGGCCCTCTCTATGTGATCTCGATATGAAATAGATCTACCATTGACCAGCCAAACATAGCCTATAGCATGTCATTAGACGCCTGCTGGCAATATCGGATCGTGTGCATTCATTAAAACAGCACAGAAAGAGTCCCGCAGGCAAACATGCTGGGGTGGACGCGTGGGCATAAGTTCACGATTAATTTAAACACACGACTTTCGTGAATGTGCACCTTTAAACAAGCAGCTGCGTGACTCACTTCTGGCACCTGTGGATGTGTGTCTAAAAAAGGCCGCAGATAAATCAAAAGCCTGCAAACCAGCCTGCAAATAATGAAGTCACACACTCAGCATTGCCATATGGGGCAAATAGGCTTTGGCAGTGAAGGGTCAATTCATCATCTTAAGAATTCAGCCGTTGTGGTTTAACCCAAGACTCAGCTTCTCGTCCAAGCCGTAAGTAAATCTGCTGCAAGCGTAGTTCAAAAAGCCAATCAAAATCTTAATGAACCTGATTTACTTTCTTACAATACTTTTTTTGCACTGTAAAAACTAAAATATTTTCGTGATTTTGTCTTTTCGCAACTTTTTTTCTTTTGTCAAATCAACTTATGTTGTTCAGATAACACAATCTTTTAAAAGTTCTGTTTATTAAACCAATCTCTTTCATTGAATCAAGTAAAATATCAGCAACTTTTTCAAGTTAAACCAACGTTTTTTTGTTTTGTTTTTTTTTACAGTGTGGAATAACCTGCATTACATCTTTACAATAAGGCCATGGTCAAAAATGATTTTCCTTTTCAAGTGACACCACTAAGTCGTAGTAATTTTCAACTCCGCCCCTTTTTACAATTTAATCAGTTTCCGATAATAAAATGAAGCCCATGCATTTTTGATTAAAAAAAAAGGATAGCTTATTTTTTTCGTCAAATATCCTGTTTGTAGTGTCTCTACTTGTACTTTACAGAACTAAATGCCATATTGTGTTCACTTAAAGGACAAGTTCGGTATTTTACAATTAAAGCCCTGTTTTAAGATCGTTTCTGATGAAATAGAATGGTTAAGAATGTTTTTTAGACAGATGCTGCTGTCCCGAGAATTTTCGGATTACATGGTAGCAACCACACCTCTACAATGGCAGCATAGGTGCACAGGAACAATCCTTCATTAAAAACGCATAAAACTTTAGTTTACAAAGACGTGAAACTCACCGAGTGGTCTGGGGTGTTCACTGATTTGCTCACACAAAACTCGCTGCAAAAGATGCTTCCCAACAGGTGTTTTACCATTCGTTGTAAAACTGTAGACCTATTTTTCCGAACGCCTCACAACCGTACGTTCTTCCATTGAGAGATTGAATAATAGACACTCCAGCCCAGTTGGTGGCGATAATGCACCTTTGCCAATTGCAAGCAAACCACTTGTATAGTGTAGCCTAAGATACCGCGACTGCATAAGACTACAGAAAGAGTACAAACAACCCCATTTCCGTTTCCGGCGGCGGAGCAATACCGTACATCACAGAACATACAATACAACTAGTCAATGGAGTTGGTAAAAAAAAATACAATAAAACCTGTTGGAAAGCATCTTTTGCAGCGATTTTTGTGTGAGCATATCAGTGAACACCCCAGACCACTCTGTGAGTTTCACGTCTTTGTAAACTAAAGTTTTATGCGTTTTATGCGTTTTATGTTCCTGTGCACATATGCTACCATTGTAGAGGTGTGGGGGTGCTACCACAGAAACCGAAAATTCTCGGAAAAGCAGCATCTGTCTAAAAAAAAACAATCCTAACCATTCTATTTCATCAGAAACGATCTTAAAACAGGGATTTAATTGTAAAATGCCGAACTTGTCCTTTAATAGCAGTCCCTGAATTCATGCTAACGTATTTCCACTGAAGAAAATTTGGTGTAGGATTTACTATTCACTTTTATTTTACTTTACTTGTGAAATTCACTAGCAATTTCTGATTCTAAGGGGAAGTTCTGAGTGTAAAAAGTTTCAAAGAAACGGCAACGTACACCAATAATCTTCGAAAAATATTTTCTTTACAAAACAATTCGTGGGCAGTTTGTCAGCAAAATGAATCAGTTGATAACATTTCTTAAAGACAACATGAAATCAAATTTGACAAATCTTTTAATTTTTTATGGAATATTAAATGATTTATTCGTGCACATCATTATTTTTAATTTTTAATTCAAGTGCACTCCTAATATTTAATCAAAACAACTTCCCCTTCCTCTAACTGCGACCTCTCGAGGCAACCTGTCACTTACATGAGATTGAACAATGGCAAACCATGACCATACCACTATCCAATCAACTCCCAATGGACAAAAACAAGAAAGCAGTTTTACTGTTGGACAATGAAACTGAATCGCTGGCTAATGTTGAGGTTTCACCTACAAATTCATGGCTTGGTGGCCAATCTTCACTGATATAATATATATAATATATAATATCAGTGAACGTTGAAATAGCAGAGCAATAGCAGCGCTGCATATGAGTTATTGCAATCCACACAGCATAATGGGAGACATATCAGCCAACAAAAGAACAAATTGTTGGTGTGCGTCTCTCTGGCTCATCCGTGACCATGATAGCATGTCTTTATGGTGTATTGAGAGCTATGGAATCCAGGGTAATGTCGGCATACCACCGCATAGGACGACTTGCATCCAACAGGTGTAACTGTCGACAGAAGAGGAAGCGCTCACAAAGGGATGTCCAGGTACTAACCCGGATTGTATCCACACACACACACACAAAAAAAAAAACCCATAAAATCACTGCCTAACTCACTCCAGAATTAAATGAGCTCATCGACTCTCCTATTTCCACCAAAACATTTCGTCTGGAGCACAGAGTCAATATTTATGTTCAAACTGCCACTAGGCAAACATTTGGTCACTCCTAAACCTACCCATCACGTGGGTTTAGACAAATGTACGAATTCATATGAGTGAGGTCGATAGCCACTTTTTAATCACTCGTACGAATTGGTCGTGAGACAGCGTTGGCTGTTCCGTCCACAAAGCAGGCCATACAGTGGCGCAAAAAGTGGGTATGCGCTATATGCGGCGCATAGGGGCGCAGCACAATGAATATGGGTTGGAGCTTTTAATTTTGAACTCTCAAAGTGCACCAGACTGCTGAATTTAACATTACAGAACACAAAATTTTCTTTTTTTTTTCTGTTAGCTCTCATTTCTTACATTACATTTATTTATTTATTTATTTATTTTTGTGGGGGGGGGGGGGGGGGGGCTGAAATTGTTGCTGCATACCCCTCTGAAACTGGGTAGTTGCGCCCCTGAGGCCATACAATAGGGGATTATCACGCTTCCGGGTTTCATGGGCGGGATTTGTCAACTTTGTGCATGTCCACTTCCTACGCAGTTCAACAATGGCTGAGACTAAGGTTAGATATGTCACTGCTCTGTTCCACTTTGTAAATCTAACCAACAACGCCGTCGCCAATCCTACGTAAGTTTTCATGGATTCCCGACTGAATTGAGTATAAGGAAGAACTGGATTAAAACTCTAAAATAAAACAAGGTAGCACGTTTTTTTGGGGTTTGTTTTTTTAGCCGGCACTTTAGTGAATCAGACTAATTTACCAGGGATGCCTTATAATTAAACTTAGTCCGTCATCAGTTCGCCAGCGAGATCGTTGATTCAACGGAAGTGGCAGTGCACAAAGATCACTGAATCCGGAAGTCCTACGTATCAGCGTGATAATCCCCTATACTAATAAATTAGTGGTCTAAAACAGGTGTTTTAGTTTCAAAATGTTGAAATGTGGAAGAAAATATATGCATCTTCTGTCTCATGCCGACGTTATTATAATTTGTTTAAACTGTGAGAGAAAAAATGTTAGGCTATCCCAATTCGAATGATGTTTTCATTAACATAATGATTAAAAATAATTTAATAAAGAAAAATCGCCTCGAAGTAAAACAATAAATAAGTAAATAAATAATTTGCGCGTTGTTCAGGCTATTCCCGCTGCCGCTGTGCTGTAATGAAACAGGTGTGGTTGCATTGAAGCTCCCTAATCACATTGATTTCTCTCCATGCTGTGGTAAAGAGCTTTCTAGAGCCCTTGCAGAGGGAGCTCTTCTGTTTTATCAGTATTCTGGTGTAATCGGCGGCTGCTGTTAAAATGACAGCGAGTCAAAGCGGAGACCCCAGGCTTCGCCAGTCGCTGCGTATTTGTGAGGTTATAAATCAAACGATGGCGCTCTCCCCCGTCCCGTATCTCTCCCAGCACCCCCTCTCCATCGCTCATACCCATCAGTACGTTTCATTTCCAAAGACAAATAGATAGGGCTACGATGAAAGCATGCCAAGAAGAGACTAGCCTATTCCCCTAAATGATTCGCTCTTTTATTATTGAAAGACTAGAAATACAAAAAAAGTAGACAGGCATTTCCTTTAGAACACTAAAGCAGTTCTTCAAGCATGCTAGAGCCAAGAAAGCGAAACACACATGCGTGAGTTATTAAATGTATAGAAATGACATAACCAACATCACCTTCACTTGAAACTGCTGTAAAAGAACATCTAAAGTCTATGCAAATTGTCAGACTCAGTATGTCACGGCGTGGGATTTTATAAATGCCCTGAATCCGCTGATTCTGGTTTGGGATGCATTTTAAAACCCAAGCATCTTTTAAAACTGTGATAGTGTCAGAAAAGATCTGATAAACCCCGTGTTATCTTCAGCGGAGGGATGCAACACACAGCTGTGCACAAGAGACCCCTGCGCACACCGATCAGCATGCAGGTGGCTTTCCAAATGACTCACTTCTCATCAATGGTGAAGATATTGATTTTACTAAAAAAAAAATAGTAATAATAAAAATCGCACGAGCTTGGTTTTACACAGAAATGAATGAATTCAGAGACTGCATTCCTACCTCTGTTGCGGGCTCTTCCTTTCACCACGTATTGCTGCGGAAAGGCAGTTTATTATCCCTTGCCAGCGCTGAAGACTCAGACCGACGGAGATACGGACTGAGCTGGCGAGAGAGAGAGATGGGGAGGGAGGGGGGTTACAACTGGATCCTGGATCAGTTGTACTCCGATTCCTGAACGAATGACTCAGTGACTCTAAATGATTCTTTTCATCATACAACGAAAAAGTAATCAAAATGTTCGTGCGCGCGCGCGTGTGTGTGTGTGACAAAAATATAGGTCTACAACACAACCATAGCCTATTTTGTTTCCATTTGGAGCTTGGAAGGGTTCAGTTTAAGCAGATGTTTTATAGCGTCATCACGGTCCTCATCAAAGCTCATTCCAGTACATTCAGCATCTGGCTCATATTCTCAAAACCATCATTTTCAACACCTTCAAAATCAATATTTTGATCGCTGACAGCTTCTTCAGCAGATCCACCATCATGACAGTGACACTAATATTTGGCATTACTTACTCTGCAGGGAATCACTGACTCAGTTCAAGTTTTGCTGATGATACTTCCTATTCTTTTGTTTTCTGACTGCGGTAATAATAGATAACTATTTTTTTGAGGAATACAAAGAGGGTTGATGTCTAAAAATGAATGAGGTGGGGGTAGTGAATGACTTCACAGGTCACTAAAGACAGGATGGGTTAAAACGGAGGTTTGGTTCGTGAATTAAAGAGTGAATCTTCTGAGGCTGTTCTTTACAGTGTTTTAAAACCAGATGATTCCACAACGAGTAACTCTCACCAACTGGATATTTTTGGTAGCCTAAATCAATCAACAAGTAGCCTATATGACCTGTTTAGTTGTTTGTGCTAATAAAACTTTAACTTTATTTATTTTTTAAATCACCGATCGTTTTGCTAGATAAGACCCTTATTCATCGTATCAATTAAAGCCCTTTGAAGCTGCACTGAAACTTTCATTTGAATCTTGAACCGTTTGGTTCCCAATGAAGTCCATTATATGGAGAAAATCCTGGAATGTTTTTATCATAAACCTTAATTTCTTTTCGACTGAAGAAAGAAAGACATGGACATCTTGGATGACATGGGGGTGAGTAAACTATCAGCAAAAGTTTTTTTTTTTTTTTTTTTTTTTTAAGTGAACTACTCCTTTAACCGCAATACCTTGGCCATGAAACTGCGACGTGGCTACTGTTATGTTGCAAGGCTCGTGAGAGTAACTATAGTTACAGAATGATTGTTCACATGACAACATGTAAGTCTAGCTAAATACACCCATGCGTTCTGTTACAATCAGTAGTTTTTATTTATATAAAAAGAAAAAAAATTGGCTACATGAATAAAATGTTAATGTTTGCAATTGCATAAAGTATTTCTATATAGGTCGAATAATTGGAATGCATGCATTCTACCTGCCACAAATGTCCATTTAAACCTTTTCCAGAAATTGTAGCTAATTTATTTGAAATATAATACAAAAATCTAATGATGCTACGTTTAAGAGAGAATAACGCAATGAATAGTGCACAATATCATAAGAACTCAGATAATGATAAAAATACTTAATGCAATACGTTATTTCATTTTTTTGCAATGGCTTTTTTTTACCGCAGAGGGGAGATACATTTCCATATCGTCTAAAAAAGTACGCTCGTAATGCACATAAATGCATTTTTCATATGGCTTCAGTTTCTTGCTCGTTGTCTTTTCGATCGGCCACCAAGCGCATCTGTTTCCCACTCTGAGCACGTAGCGCGCTTCTGTCAGCGCGTGTCTCTCCCCGCGCGAGCGAGCGCGCGCCCACACGAGCAGGCAGGAGCATTTGACGTCATAGAGAGGCACTCCGCCAGAGCGCGAGCCAGCCACAGCTGCCCGCGTGTGTTAAATCAATCTTTCACGTGAATGACTGTGCAGCTCCCCCTCAAGCGTCATGAGATTTCAGAGCTGAATTTGGGTGAATGGAGGGTACGAGAGGCTCATTGACATGAACTTTCCAAGTGTTTTTCTTCAAGGGATCTGTGTGAGCTTTTGACCTGCCATGACCAGTATGTGAAATCACCCATTGCTACATTGATATAGAAAATATCTACATTGCTTCCCGTCCATGCTTGTCCTCATACTCTGGAAATGAATGTATAAAAATAGTATAGAGTGATTCAAACACAAGCGCTCTTCAGATAGCAAGCAGAGAAGCTTTGGCGTATCTGGTTTGATGGATTTACACACTTTCTGCAGGATCAATGCTACTGATGCAGAGACTCACAGGATAGCTTCTATAAAGATAGCCCCCTCACGATCTGGAGCATAAGCTTTCAGGAGAATGATGTGCAGCTGTAGGAACCAGAAATGAGCTTTCTTTTGGGTCACTGCAGCTATTTGAGATTCAATTGGAGCAATGAGGTTAAAGGGATATAGTTCACAACCCCCCATCCAAATCCAGCACTAATATATATATTATATATTTTTTGTGTACAGAAGAAAGCCATACTTGTTTGGAAAAGAAATGTGTGTAAGTAAATAATGCCAGAATTTTTTTTTATTTTATTTTTTTGGGTGAACTATCATTATAGAGTTCAAAGGTTGTGCTTAAAGGATCAGGAAAGAAACATTCTAGACATTAGGATTGAAGATAATTCTCTTTTCATTCAAAATGTCTTCCATTCCAACTCTTTATGTTTCAGCACCACGGACAGCTCCACAACAGTAACGTTTCAGGACATATATTGGCCAAAAATAGTATCAAAAACACAAGAGCCACAACAGCTCTAAGTATAATGAGAAAAACGTCAATACCATTCTGAAATCATATTGGTTTTATTGGCTTTAGGTCTGACCATCCCACCCAACCCAACTGGAAATCAATCCTCCAAGACCTACACCACCAATCACAGAAATTACTTCAATTATTGCCAGTTCCATTCCAGCTTGCCTCATGTACAAAATATACTCCTAATACTCAACCGGGTGGTCTGGAAGTTTTAACTTGCCTGCAGCCATCTTAACCAGCCTGACAGACTCTACTCATGCAAAGCACCGTACATTTTAAAGCTGCAACGTCTGACTGCATGTCTTTTTTTTGCTATTGAGATCTTAAAGAGCCCCGTCAGCATTGGTATTGGTTTTTAGCTTAACCATGTTAATCCCAGAGACGATCTCCTCAATTGTTGCCTCACTACCCTGCTCCACACAATAGGGCCAAGCACAGATAAATGATCCCCGCTTTAAGACAAATAGCCCTTCTTTCAAGACAGATAGTGTGGAGGAAGGAAAGTCCCATCCATATACTTCATAGCATGGCCCCGGTCGATTGGGGTCGATGCGGGTTGGGCGAGCCGCACCTTCCTCTTGGCTCGACAGTCATTTGTCCAAATGGCACCATAAGCATGCAGCAAGGCATTCGTTGCCATTGAAATGTGCAAAATGTAACCTTTAGGGGTACAACATCTTGTCGCTGGGGATGTATCCTAAGTTATCTACCTTAAAAAGAGCATATTAGTACCTTAGAGTTTGCAATAAGAACCCTTTGGGGGTAAATAAGGTACAAAGATTTCCCTTTGAGGATCTCCTGGCAAGCTGTTGTACACAAAGGTACAATTTTGGCTATTTTATTCAGAGAGTGGAATGCTGACAGACTAAAAAAATGGATCAGTTGACTTAAATTAAAGGAGTAGTTCACTTTAAAAAAAACTTTTGCTGATAATTTACTCAACACCATGTCATCCAAGATGTCCACGTCTTTCTTTCTTAAGTCGAAAAGAAATTAAGGTTTTTGATGAAAACATTCCAGGATTTTTCTCCATATAATGGACTTCATTAGGACCCAAACGGTTCAAGGTCCAAATGAGAGTTTCAGTGCAGCTTCAAAGGGCTTTAAACGATTCCAAACGATTAATAAGGGTCTTATCTAGCGAAACGATCTGTCATTTCAAAAACAAATAAAAAAGTTAAAATTTTATAAGCACAAATGCTCGCCTTGCTCTGTTCTGTGATGCGCGTTCGTGACTCTCCTGTTTGAACTCGTTCATCAAAATGAACAAATCTTTTTGAGAGTCATTTCATTAATTTCGTTCGTTGAATGAACCAAATCACAGAACAGAGCAAGGCGAGCATCTCTACTGAAAATGTTTGGCTTACAAAATCTCCATCTAAACCACCTCCCTCCCTTTCTTGTCTTGGAACTATTTCTTCTTTCCTTTTAAATGTAATTAAGGAGTTTGGGAATTTTGTAAGATACATAATGCTATTTAACAAATAATGACAACACGTCTAGTTTATCACCACAAAAACCAGAACACTGTAAGATCCTCAGGTTTGATTAGAACTGGCAAGAGAGATCTCTATTTTACCATTGTGTTGAATTCTCAGTAATAAACCACTTAGTACACACTGAATCATCAAACTCATGCGTTATGTCTTCTACCTTTGTCTTACGTGAATCATACACCATGGCAACAAGAGTCTAAATTTAGAAAATTGGACGTTTCTGTTTCCTTGTAATTGTTTCTCATTAATAAACCCCTGGCCTCCGTTTTGAATCCTCCAAGGGCTTGGTGTATTGGCTGCAATTGGTCTATTACTGCACTAGGAAATGGCCCAGGTTCTATTCTTATCCCTCCGTCATGGGATCCATTCGAACTTGATTATCTAAAGAAGCATGATCAGTCATTGATACAATTTACCTACCACCTAAAACTGAGCCTCACCCTTTTGCTCTTTCACATAGGGCAACGAGCTCTCTCATGGGGCGACGAGAATGTTTGAAGCCTTTAGTGACCTTTACAGACATGGCCATGTTGCCCAGCATTAGTGATGAATGAAGTGTCAGCATGAAGGGAAAGATAGAGTCATTTCGGGGAATGGGTGTTCTTCTTGTCAAGAGAAGAATGGTGGCTGGGGTAGGACAGGTTGGATGTAGAAACTCTTTCAGACTGGTTTTAGGGAAAAGTCAACATAATGAGATGCAAAAAATATACTGTATATAACTCTTCAAATTTCTTTTAATATGTTAATCTGACCTAATCGATGCCAATAGCAAATATATTTTCAGATTTAGATTCTATCTAAAA